TCCTCTCCTCTATCCCTCTTCTATCCGCCTCCCACTCTCTCCCTATTTATTTCAAAACCCCCTTCCCCTCCCCCTTTTCTGATGAAGGGTCTAGGCCCGAAACGTCAGCCTCTCTGCTCCTATGATGCTGCTTGGCCTGCTGTGTTCATCCAGCCCTGCACCTTGTTGTGCAGAAGAAGTTGTTGGCTTCACCAACCCTTGTTTTTAAACAGAGTTGCATGACTTTATTTGGTCAGCCATGTACAATTGGAGTTCAACTAACATATCTCCTGAGATTTCCAATTTATTTTGTGAAAAAGTGGTCACACTCATTTACATTGATTCTTAAAATAAACTCAAACTATGTGTCATTTTCATTGTGCAAGCTTCGGTTTTGTGTGACAAACATGGTTTCCTAATTTTGAGCTCTTTTGTTTCAGGATCTACATTGGAAAAAGACTGACCACTTCATCATCAAGCACATTCTGAGATCCAGAGTTAGAATTCAACATGGCCTGTGAAATTGTGTGGCTGCTCCATCAGTACATTAGAATTGGAGGAACAAAGAAACCTACCACAAGCACAAGACATCCTATTGTATTAGATTTTCCCTTCAAAGGAACTGCTTGGCCACCTGAGCACGACCTTGGCCGAACATTGTTTTGTCTGAACTTGGACTTCTTGACCTCAGTGTACCATGTGACAGCAGCTGAATATGTTTCAATTAATACTTGGCTTAACCAGCAAACACTCACATGCGAGGAGCAGTCCCACTAGTTGGATCAGATAATCACATGGCAAAATCTATGCAGTTAAGACAAGATACCGGTGGGGATCAGTATTCAGTCTTATTAAATCAACAAAGCTGTAGTACGCAATGGAGTCTTCTGTTTGCGATTCAGTCTCTCTGGCAAGAGCAAAGCATTTAATCTGAGATCAACAGAGCTGAAATAACACACGGCTGTTTGGAACAGTGACATTTCTTTTTAGATTGTAAAAATAAACATTATTTGGTTCTTAATCTTTAATTAAATCTGACTTTCCCTCCATCTCTAGCTAGAAATTAGTTTTCTTGCAATCCTCTGTCACATTCCCCAAGCCAGGAGGGTTGGCATGCAGTGGGACTGTGGTTATGATAGTCTGAGCAAACTTGTTTGCCTTTGGTATTTTTTGGTGACAAATTAGAAACCAGAGTTATAAAGCTGTTTGTGATTCTTTGATTGACTGTGTTTTAAATCGCCAAAGATAGTGCAGTTCTAGCTTTTCAAGTTACACATAACCTTGGTTAGAAACCTTTCTGACTCTAGCGAGCTTCAGTAAACTCAAGTATGTTCTCACTTCATGTTTAGAATTGGGGAAATCATTAAGCTCATTTCCTCAGCTTCAACTTGTCTTGCTAGTCTGTGCTGTAGCTTCCCAGCGAAGAGTTACCTTATTCAGCCCAGACTATTAGTTGTACTAGAATGAAAATCTGAATTTTGAGCCATCCGAAAGGTATTATGTAGAGCATCGGAGAATTTGCCATTCGCACTGAATCTCTGAAATGCGACCATCTTAGTCTATCTTAGACAAGGTGTGTGCACAATCTGGTGAAACTAATTGACCATCTTGTTTTGGCTGTTGTCCTTTAATAGGAAGGGGACTGGTACATCAAAACACTTTTTCGGTAACCATTGTATGTTTGTTTCAGTTGGTTGCTTTTGGCTTCATGCACTTTGGAGCTTTTATTTACGGAAAGAAAATTTCTGAACTGAATGAAGTTTAAGACATCTTGGCTTTTTCAGTATCTGTGAATAAGTTCATCTTATTTAATGGGATTAGCAGCTCCAATTTATGATGGCTAAAAGGATCTCATCCCTGACTGGTGGTGCATATGGCATGTAATTGCCTGAACGCCCTCACTAAATTCACAGTCTTGCTGAGACCTTCGTGTTGGCTCGAACTAGACAAATAGCAGTGTGCAGCTGAAGAGGCATTGGAAGACTGAAACAATGGAGACGAAGCCCCACTCTGCACCTCATCTTCGCTCTGGAAAGGCTTGATGAAGGCATCACATAAAGCAAAATAACAGTACAGTGGCTTGATGGAAAATTGAATGAGATGTGGAAATGATGCTGAATTATGCAAGAGAAAATGTACTTCAGTGCAACTTCACCTTTCATGATACAAAATCAGGAGCACTTTCAGCAGTACAGTCCCTGATACCTAAAAGTTTAAACAGAAATGATGAGACAGAATGGCTTAAAAAAGATCATTGATGAAGAATGTACTGGATTGAAAGTAACTGTTTTGCAGGAAAATGTACTCATCAGATTACCTATCTGTCAGTTAAGAAAAGCTTGCTGTAGAAGGAATATCTATTATTTTTTCTGCATCCATCCCAACTCCTGGGATCGGCACAATTTACTGCCATCACTTGAAGGGAAGAGATGGCTAATTAGTAAAAAAAAAAAACCCATGTTCCGTTGTGTGCCAAGATTATGTATGTTACATTATTTATGATTGTTTTCTGCTTTTCAAAAATTGGAGCAGGAGATTGGGCTATATTTGGACAGTTTTAGATTTTCAGGGAAACAAAACCATCGCTGTTGGAATTCTGAGATCTAAACAGCAATCGAAGATTCTGAACAGATCGTTAACACCGGATCGAAAAATGCCTGGTCAAGCTCTGCATGCGACCTTCAACAACTTTGAGGAAGGGTCCTATCTGAAAGTTTTGTTTCTCCTTTTGGATGTTGCACTATGCGGAACAGTTTTGAGAGTTTTTTTTGGCCATGATTGGTGTGTTGGATTGGATTCGCACTTGATCAAGTAGAATTGACTGTTGTGATATAAGGCTAACAAAGCTATCACATTGTTTTTGTGTATGCGTGTAGCAGGGGCGTGTCACAGAAATAATGATCAGTTTCACTTGTGAAAACTTGGATTTAATGGGTCACTGTTTAATATGTCAATCCAATGGTCTCCCCATCAACAAAAACGTGGATGTGGTTACCTTTTGAACATGAGTGCAACAAACGTCTAAAAACCTGATGTAAAATAAATTGCTTGCTTGCACAATTGGATGTTGTATGTGCAGCCACAAAAAATATCAAGCTGCAGCATCATATTTCAATAAAAAAGCTATCCATTTTTTAAAACAAGTCTTGGTTACTTTTACAGTTGGGTCAGGATTTGCAACATGCATCTATTAAATCCATCTGAGCCGAAATGATTATCAGTAAGTCTCATAGCTCGGTAGCACTTTGTATGTAGATTAATGTAAAAAATTGTTGTAACCATTTTCGTGCCATTAAAAGCATGAATGCGAGTCTGTATTTCTTTCTGAATCTTTTCCTCAATCTCAAATTTGTTATTATTTAAATAACTTACTTCACGCACTTAGCGCAGCAAAATATCAAGGGGGGAGGTGATGGCCATGTCAATTATAATTGGCTGATGTGCTTTGAGGAAGGAAACAGCCATTCGTTCCTGGTCTGGCCTATGTGTAACTCCAGACCTGGTTGATTCTGGGATGGGCCATAAAAGCTTGTGTGGTCAGCAATGCCCACATTCTGTGAATCGATTTTATATTAAAAAAAAATGAAGGTGGAAATGAGGGCTGTTTTGAGCACTAAGCAGAATTTGAGTTGGTTGAAGGAAACTGAATGCAGCGTTTTGGAGATAAATTTTTCTTCACGGTGCACTAGTTGAATGTTTCCAAGAGCTGTTTCGAGTGTTAAGAGAAAAACCTGAACCTTTTAATTATTTGACAATATCTCCTTCCCATGCAAATTCCTGACCAAGCAGTCCTTGCATAACTGTGAGCCTCTTGAGTTTTTGCGTGGTGATGTTAGGAAGCTTGGGTTTTCGAACTGTACTGATGCACCTTTCACCCAGTATTACTGATGATCATCACAAATGGAAGATTTGTCTTATTGCTCTCCTTGTGAAAGCAGTTGTAATGCTTCAGCTCCTACTTTGGCTGAGATCAGCTGAGTTCCTATGGACCAAGTTATTAAAATCTCCATACCATCCTGGACCCATCTTCTGATTTAGCATTTAGTACATCATCTTGTCTAAAGACTGGATAACAAGTTAAATGACTTGTCCTGTTCGAAGGATCCCTTGAGAGTGCTGTATTTGAGTGTTAGAATTTGTGATTAGTTTTTAATTTTTATCAGCCTTAAAAGGCAAAATATCCTACGCCATTAGATAACCTGGCTAACTTAATGAAGCAGCCTACCTGTGGTCATGATGGCCTGCTTGAAATTCATTGTGATTTTTTTCCATGTTCTGTCATTAGTCAGAATGTAATAAACATTTTGTCTAGGTTCCAAGGATGTTTAATAAGTGATTTTCTTGTTGGCTAGTAAAAAGACTCAAGCAGAGAAAAGTGTATGAATGATAGGGTTCCAGCACCTGCTGCTTTTTACTGAACATTCTGTGTCATTAAGTCAGGAGCATGGATTGAATTTTGAACTTGATAACACTGTAAGCACATGAATTGAATGCACAAGGCGGGTTGGAAAGCCCCGTTAGACCAGCAAGGTTCCAGGTTCAATCTCCGATCGATTTTTGGATAGACTAGTATTTGCAATTAATCTCTGGTATTGAAAACAACCAAGAAACTTCTGACATTTCTGAATGAGAGTTTATGTTGTGTGTACGAGTAGTGATCTGAGTTGAATTAATGCTTGTTTTGGAATTGGCTCAAATTGCCACTTAAACATGAATTCATATTGCTGGAAAATAAAATCTTGGAACAAACACTATCCAATAATGGTTTTAAAATGACTTCTGGAAAACAAATTGAATTAAACAATATATCTGGCTATATGAACTGTGCAGTTTTCTTTATGCAGCTGTTCACATGGTTATCACCAAGATATGCTTTTGTTTTATTTGCATCAAATTTGCCACCTGATAGGGAACCAATTTCAAACAAATGAAACTGATTTTAGAAAGGATGCTTTGAGCTCCTTAGTTGATTCTGTGAAGTGGTCAGTTTTTCAGAAATGTGAACGTTTGTTTTTCTTAAATACTTTTCACTTAATTTTAAATTGATTAAATGTTTGCAAACAAGAATAGTTCTGAGAACTTGCTAAGCTGATTATTCCATTTGTGTTGGAAGCTGGTCACATTCATAACGTATTTGAAACGAGCACATTGATTGTGGAAACTGTGTTGGAGATGATATTCTTTGAAAATTCCTCCATTATTTTTGCTTCAGACAAGTTCCTTTGGCAATATCAGGATATTTCTGTAACCAAGCAGAGATTGTGAACTCTTAGTCCAGACAACGGTGGAAGGAAGACACCTTTTGTAAGGATAAAGAATTTATAGTTAATAAAAATATTTTAGTTTCACGCCCATGTTGAAGATTTTTCACTGGATTTTCAAAAATTGGCATCCTTACATTTTGAAGTCACTTAACGTTTAAGTTATAATTGTGTTTTTGCTATTTCTCTGTTGTGCCTTGTAGATGATGAACCAGCTTTCAGGAGTCCGTAGGTGAGTAACTCACTGCAGTATTCCTAGCCTCTGACCTGCTGTTGTCGCTACTACGTTTATGCAGTGAGTCCAGTTGAGCTTCTGATCAATGATAACTCCGAGGATGTTGATAGTGGGGGAGTCAATGATGGTAACACCGTGGAATGTCAAGGAGCAGTGGTTAGATTGTTTCTTGTTAGTGATGGTCATAGCTCCGCATTTGTGTGGGGTGAATGTTACTTGCCACTTGTCAGGCCAAGCCTAGATGTTGTCCAAATATTGTTGCATTTGGACACAGACTGCTTCAGTGTCTGAGGAGTCACTAATGGTGCTGAACATTGTAAAATGAGTGGTAAACATCCCCATTTCTGACCTTAGAGGGAAGATCATTGAAGCAGCCAAAGATGGTTGGGCCTCAGACACTACCCTGAGGAACTCCTGCAGAGATGTCCTGGAGCTGAGATGACTGACCTCCAGCAACCACGACTATCTTCCTATGTGTCATGTATGACTCTAACCGGTGGAGAGTTTTCCTGATACTCAGTTTCCAGTTTTGCCAGGGCTCCTGATGCCACAT